GATAATGTTCCCACTGTTTTAATGCTCGAATTAAAGCATAAAGTTCTTGCTCGTAAGTGCACCATTTTTGTCTAGGGGGTGTTAGTTTCTCACTGAAATATTTTATTGGGTGGTTTTGCTGGGATAACACGGCACCTATACCTACTCTGGAGGCATCCACAGCTACCTCAAACGGCATAACTAACCATTCAAAGAGTCCCTTATTCATTTTGAATGCGGTTTTCCATTCATCCCTGGATTGAATTCGAATTTGGTGATAACCGCTCTTAAGATCATTTTTTGTGAAAAGTTGAGCGCCCCCAAGTTGATCTAGAAGGTCAGAAAGGCGTGGAATAGGAAAACAATATTTGATTGTAATTTTGTTGATTGCTCTACTATCAACGCACATGCACCAAGATCCGTCTTTCTTAGGTGCTAAAAGAACAGGACCGCACAAGGACTTAAGCTAGGCCTAATATGTCCTTTGGTTAGTAATTCTTGTATCTGATCATGGAGGATTGCGTATTCTTTGGGGCTCATACGGTAATGGGGAAGATGGGGCAGATTGGCACCTCGAATGAAGTCTCTTCGATGTTGGATATCTCGAAGAGGGGGAAGGTCCGTGGGATCTTTTGTGAGGATGGGGAAGTCAGCTAAGAGGTTTTTGATCGCAGGGTGAACAGTAATTTGGGTTGATGGGGGGCCTGTGTCCCTTAACGACCAGAGGGAATAGGAGGGAATCATCCTTTTGCAGGAAGTTTTTCCCATTAATAAGAGAAAAAAGCTAACTGGTATRAGAAGCTCTATCCTGTTTTACTCTAGAATCCATATTTGAAGGAAGAAGAATAATCTTTTTGCCCATCCAATTGAATTCATATGTATTTTCCCTACCATTATGGATGGTTTGAAGGTCAAATTGCCATGGGCGGCCAAGAAATATGTGACAGGCGTCCATATCTAATACATCACATATTATTTGGTCTTTGTACTGATTTCCTATAAAAAGGGGAACCGTACATACAGATGATACCGTAGCTTCACCGCCCTTTTGAATCCATGAAACCTTATAAGGGGTAGGATGAGGATCTACCTTAAGGTTGAGGGCAGTAACTAACCGTTGTGACACCATGTTCTCGCTACTGCCACTATCAATAATCACATTACATACCTTGCCATTGATGGTACATCGTGTTCTGAAAAGACAATTTCGTTGTGGATGTAGCTCAACCTTGGGAGTAAGGACTTTTTGGATGACACAATTAAGAAAGTCACCTTCATCTGCCTCAACGTAAGTGGCCTCGTCGTCGACAAGAGTCTCCTCGTTTGGTGCAAGATTATCAACATCGATTAAGGCTAGCGCTCGCTGTTGAGGACAGTCATTGGACAAATGCCTGACTTGGCCACACCTGAAACATTTTCCCAAAGTGGGACGGACATACGGATTAGAACCTCGCTTAGTAACGGAGTCAGAAGGTTTAGGAGGGGGAAAGACTTAGCTGGTTCATCAGTAGACTTGGTTGCTGTGGACGCAGGCCCAATAGCAACATTCTTTTCCGTGTCAGTTGGAGGGAGTTTAGAAGAAGAAGCCCTGTCCCATGGAAGACGACGAATAGGGGCCCGTAGACGTTTCTTGTCAATCTTATCCTCAATCTTAGTAGCCATGGAAATGGCATCTGTGAGCAATCCGATGGGTTGGACATCGAGCTGATCTTGAATATCTTCCCGAAGGCTGTCGATGAAACGCTCGATCTTGTAATCTTCATATTCGGAGAGATTCGTGCGGGCACCTAGACAGTGGAATTCTTCTGTAAAGTCTGCAATAGACTTGGTACCTTGGCGGCATCTCTGGTATTGTTGGTACAATAGTTGTTCAAAATGTGCAGGCAAGAAACGTTCGCGCATTAGACGCAACATTTTTGGCCAGCTGCAAATGGGCCGCTTTCCCAACCTTTGGCGATTAATTTCCAACTGGTCGCACCAGGCATATGCACCCGAATGTAACTTGAACGTGACCAGTTCAACTTTCTTGTGATCCAGAGTGTTGGTATAGTCGAAGAAGTTTTCAACATTCTTGACCCAGTCAAGAAATGCTTCGACATCCATTTTACCGTTGAAGGCAGGGAGGTCTATCTTCATCCTGAAATCAGTTCGCACTCCACCTCTGCCATTATGGTCGTCACGAGCAAATCGAGGATTTTGCAGAAAAAAACCGTCATCTTCGTCAGAAGAATCCGATTCTTGCAACCGTATTTGGAGTTCTTGATTCCTTTGACCATGGGCGTCAGCATTTCGTTCGGCCAAGGGTGACGGTGATGGGTTTCTTGGACGTTCTAATCGTCCCTCTCTTCTATGTACCAGATCTTCGCGTAACCTTTCTTGCTCCACTGTAATATTCTGCAGGTGTTTTGTCAGATTCTCGAGCAAGTCGTGAATCGTCTAAACATTGGACCGAACTTCACTAAGGGAGTCTTCCACCAGCAGTAAACGCTCAGTGGCTGTCTTTGGTGATAAAGGTTGAGTCGTTGCGGGATCCACCATGGGTCCCTTGCTGGAAGTCGCTGGGTTCTCCCCAGCCATCAGATCCTTGAATCTTTTAGGGGCTCTGATACCAAATTTGGTTTGAAACCAAAAGGAAATTCTTATTGATCCAAATCTGACTTAAAAACAAGGGAAGGCAGCCTTATATAAGGAAGAAGGCTGACGACTGGTTTAACTAACAAAACTAATAAACAACCTGAAGAAATAACTAAGTTGACCAAACAAGATAAAAGATCACAAAAGATACTACATCAGAAAGCCTTCCATTCCGAAATTTCAACTTCTTGAAAGCAATCAGGATAGCCCTCTGGAATACCGTTCTGAGGTTCTGCCATAGGGGTCGCCTCCACCATTTCCTCTTCCTCGCTACTAATACTGAGGGCTGACGATTCTGACATATCATCTGTCTCTCTATTCTTTTTTCCTTTTTTCTTCTCTTTGTCGCTGCCAGTAGAACAAATCCTGCCCCTTTTTTTTAAACAGTCTAGTGTGGTTGCTTTCTGAAAAGGACACTATCTTTCTTTTATCCTTTGTCTTTTTCTTTTCACCTTTGACAGTGGAGAAAGTCAAAATACACTGTCCTGTCAATCCATCGGGCGGTAGGAACTTGTCCTTTTGCTTTTCTAAGTCAATCAAGGGGCCGCCCACCATATCTTGCTTTTCTTTATGGAAATCCGTATAAGTTTCTTTTAGCGGTAAAAATGTACTATTCTCAACTTCCAAATCCGTCTGCCTCATAGGGGGTGAGGGAGGGGAAGGGTACCTAATATTGACCACCGGGTAATTACAGCCATCTTCTATTCTCCACCGGTCAACAGTACTGCAGTCTGGCCTCTCTCTCCCTTGGTTGAAAGACCTTGCCGCCTTCGGTGAGAAACCACCGTGAACCGCTATGTGCTTTCCGGCTAGCCATTTGCTATCTTCAAAAGAAACCATCTTTGCCCGACAACAATGAAACCCATCGACCAAACAGATTTCTGCTGGAATAAAACCACAATAATTCCCCTTTACTTTAATAACAACGTCAAAACATTCTATGAAACAATAATTGGAATCATCATAATCAATAAAACCTCCAAGGGCGTTTCCAAGGGCCTGAAAAGTGGCTAAACTCCAGAGATGCAAGGGAATATTTCTCACCTTTACCCAATTTCCATAGGAAGGGGTGACATAATTTTTACTGTGAAGAAGAGAGTTACATGCTTCCACTTTTACCGTTAGAGGGCCAAAGGTCACCCACCCTTTGTTGTGAAGAAAGAGGCAAGCCATCTTCTTAGAGGGCCATTTTAAAAGAGCTTTATCCGCTTGAAAAGGGTTGATGATGAACGAGCCTTCTATTTGTTCTTTGATAAAGCTCAGTATGCTGCTCCAATCATCATGGAAGTCTCGACGAGTGATCACTAACGTCTCCTCCTAGTTCAACTTTCTTACTTTCGTGTTTCCTGCACCAATTCTTTGCTTCAAACGAGGATCCTTTTCTTTTTCTATTTCTTTTCCTTTTTCCAACGAAACCCCCTGATCTTGCTCACGTTTAACCATGTCTGCAAAGGAGAGTTTACCTCTAGAAAGAGGAGGAAGGGTGGAGGAGGGAGAAGGCATAGAACTCACCTTGGAAGAAGAGGGAGGCTCCTCTTGACCATTCAGAAAGTCAAGGATCAGCGTGCTGAAAGCCCTCCACCCTTTGGAGTCAACGTCCGACGGAACCACCAAGTTTCTCTTGACCCCCGAACTCTGAACCTTTGTCACCTCCAAGAAACTACCTCTTTTGTTCGTCGTTTTCTATATCCAGAGGAAACCTTAACTGATCACGTTGAAACATCCTCACTATTCACGACTAGGCAGAGAGAGAGAGTTTTCTGTAGCATCCATTTTTTCACACTATATTCTTGGAGAAAGGTAGCTCATATAAGAGGGGACATGAATAGGAGCCGATGCAGTCTAAACACTCTTAAAAGTGCTGGCTCTTCCATAGGATCTACACCACTAGGGTGACTCCAATATAGTGAATGCCATTTGAAACTGCAAAAAGTGCCTCTCTCTTTCTTTTCTTAATATGCCTCTTGAGAGTGATCCCTAGGCTAGC